TCTATCACACCAAGCTGTATTATGATGATGATATAACCTGTAATTTTCTAAATAGCTATGTAGCCTCTACTGGTTTGTCCAAAAAAATTTGCATTTCTATGTCAACCGCAATTTGTGGAAACACATCGCATTTTGAAATAACACGTGCAGATGGTTTTGGGTTCTTGTCCTTCACCAGGTATTAAGGAAGACATCTTCATACGCACATGAGGCACGTTTTGATAAATGCTGATTAAACATCTCCATTCGAGTCACTCCTCTGACACCAGAGACCTTGCCTGTAAGCTGTCCGTGTGGGAAGATTGTGGTCTCTACGTCTACTTGATAATAAACACAAGATTTTACGATTAGTTATATACAGAATTAATCTACAGCGACTGACATGTTACAATAAGAAAGTAAACTGTCATAAAGCAAAATCAGTTAAGAACATTTTAGGGAAATCCATTTCAGATTTTATTAAGCATCGTGCATTAAAATATTATAGCACTGTACACAAGATATATTACACTTAGTGTACTTATCTTTCTGATTCTTACGTTTTTAACAACGCCGTATCAATTATAGAGGTTTAGTTTAAAATGAGGATAAGGTGATAGTATACGGTGAACTGGAAATAAGTTTTTCATCATTATGGTATCATGGCTTAATAAAGTTTCCATCAACTGGATGATTTAGGCAGTGGGTAAGAGGAAAATACTTCGCCCTCGGGCCATATTTATATAGACGTCTTTTGCACGAAGTTCATTTAGTAAACGGACATTGCAGAGAACTTGTCTGTATGTTCGTCCGCATATAACAAATGTTACCAGAGGTTTCGTAATTTTGATTCGTGTTTGTTCAATGTAGCCTTTCCTTGGCATGAATCTCAAATAAAAATTTAAACATTTTCTCATAAATTACTTACACAAATAATCGAAGCGTAATATAGAATACTGATCTTATCGGAGAAAACTTCATTCAGAACCTTTAACACATGGCGAATATTTAACGAGGTAGAAGGGGAAAATATTTTATGGCTCTATACATTGTGATTATCTTTGCGGCAGTGAGATTTTATCTGCAATAAATGAACATCAAGCCTAATAATGCAAGCAGATTACCAAAAACATATATGTGTATTCCAGTGATGCATTCTAAAATATCTTAAATTCATTATATTGTACGTTATTGCAGTTAAAAATTAAAAATACCAACATTGCAGTAGCACGAAATATAATTTCTTCTCCATGTTCATAACCATAACCGAAACTGAGAAACGAGTTAGGCAAGTGGCCACGACCTTTTCCTTTCACATCCTTTTCGATTCATCATACACATCAATCATTCTTCCATTCGGACACATATAATCATTGCTACTGGGGATAAAACAATTACTGTAACAGGGTCTATAAAATAGTGTAAGGTGACAGAACATTACGAAAACAATGCACATTTTTCTGTATGGAAAAATCTTGGAAATGGCTACTTGGAAAACCGAAGAAATGTAAGAGTAATATTAAAAGGTATCTTATATAAGTAGGTTTTGATAATGTAGGTGCATGTTATTATGTAGGTCTACTGGATGGATCTGGTATAGTGTACTAACCCAGTGGCTGGGTCTGACTGAGGATCGTGTCCAGTGTCGGGCTTTGGCATTGGTGATGTTAAACCTTCTGGTTCTATTACCTGAGATTTACTTAGAAAGGTTATTAACACGTCTAGAAATGTTATACGGAACTAACTGTGTGTCTTGAAAATTACGAACATTTCGCAATGTCGCAGGCTTTTCAGACTGTTTACAAAATAAGAAGTATTGGTATTTGGAGTCTGTATTATCAGGTGTAGTTTTTAGATACACAGCTAAGTTATATAACCTTTAGTTCAAAACAGTTAATGTCTTCTGTATGGTTCTCATATTGTAGACCAATATTGTGAGGACTGTTAGCATGAACATGAATCAAATAAAAAACTTAACATGAGGCACCTATACTTCAATCTGTTTTTTGATTAAATTGAAATAATTATTTACTACAGATTACAGTAGAGTAGCGGCTATGCTATAGACTAGTATTAGAGACATACAGTATTTCGATCTTGGTTGGGAATTGTGTTTTATTACGTGGGTTTCCCCAGTCTCTTCACGAAAATATAAATAGTACTTCCAATAGGACATGACTGACTATTTCAGAATTTTTATGATCACGCTACCATTTTGTATAACGCTATACAATCTCTGCAGTTGAAAGACAGGCTAAATAACTTAAGAATCAATCTATCTATGTAGTTATTTTATGCAGTCCTCTTAAAAATACATCAAGTACTTTGGGAAGTAAAACATGATGTTTAACACCCCAATTTCACGCATTTGTACAAAAAGGCGTGCAAATTAAAACCATTTCGAAATGTAAAATATCTTTGAAAATAACTACACCAGTGAATTGTTGTATGCATAAGCCAGTGCATGTGTTTAACAACTCTAATGTATGTTTCTCTTTTTTAACTCTACTTCTTGAGTAAGGTCATATTTAGGTTAATCTGTGATTATAGTGACAACAAAGGTGATGGCCAGCAGAGTGAACCTACGGCTCAACTTGACATCCGAAACGTGTTGGAAACGAAAACATTCACTGTTTGCTTTGCTACAAGTGACAAGAGAAAGGCATTCGGAAGTCTCTACAGCGCCTTCGACGGTTCTCATATCGGAGACCAGTAGCCTACATCGATCTACTGCATTAACAGATGAATGTTTCCGGTATTTTATTATGTCTTAGGAGTTCTTTCTTCGAGTAACCCACGCCTAAACCTGTTGGAGTGTTGACATAAGAAGGCATGACCATGTTTAATAACATAGAATAGAATTCGAATACAGCAACTGTGTCTTAGATTCGAAACAGTCGTGCATTATACGTAACAATGCATAATAAAATTGTAGTTACTAAATTCTCTGAAAATGTGACAAATTTCAAGTGACAAATTTAAATTGTTTTTACAATAGTACTAGCGAAAGTGATAGTTCTCGCTAAATTTTTATCTTAAAATAAACTATAATGACCAAAGTTATGTCTTATTTATTATGTCAGCGTTATTGACCAATATTCGTGTTATTTACCGTCCTAGTGCCGGTTTAATCCAATGCCTGGAAGTGTTTACCTTTCGAAGCCGCTAAAATGGCACTACTGGCGCATAGATTGGTGGATGACATTACGACATAATCATGTACCTTAAAGATATCTATACGAAGGTATAAATTTCGGTGTTTTAGGTTAAAGAGTTTGCAGTAATGGAGGAAGAACACTGAACGAAGTAGTTTCCACCTCACTGTACGGCGCAATATTCCAGAAGACAATCATCCTCAGCCAGGAACAGGTAGCCAATCAGTCAGATAGCCAGCAAGTCACTTACTTAGTTGGCTGGTAACTTGAAGATTCTTTGAAAGAAATGTAGTTTTCATATATGGTTTTAGAATACTGTGTGATGTAATTTGTTCATCTTGGTCATTGTGTCGACGGCTGAAGTAGCCTCTACTTTACTCATAGACGTTAGAGGGCACCATGGCATCTTTCTGGCATTTACGACAACATAACCAACAGAAACATCTGAAAAGCAGTTTCGGCTGCGCGCTATCCACCACGTAGGCAGTGAACTTGTTGCCCTTTTGGGGGTTTCCGACCTTATCAGTGTGTAGACCAGCTAAAGACATAAAGGAAAATAAAAGCAGAAAAGAAACAGTGACAGACTGATTGATGCTTAGGATACTTGACGAAACTGTTTCAACTGCACGGGTTTTATACGGTTTAATAAGATTGTAAAATGGTCGTAAATGCGTAGTAGGTCAAAATTTGAAAGGAGACTGTTATTCATGAAGTGTCTGGGGAAAATAGAAAAATCTCGATTGAGATAGTTGGAACTAACTAACTAGATGGCTTACCGAACCCGAAGGTTCATCACCGAATTAACAAAGGCCCTCCACCGGACCCTGTCCTGGGCCAACAAAATCCAGTCTCCTTCAAATCCCATCTCCCATAGATCCCACCTGACATTATCCTCCCATCTACGTCTAGGTCTCCCCAGCGGTCTCTTCCCCTCAGGCTTCCCAACCAATAACCGGCGCACACCTCTTGTCCCATCCATGCGCGCTACATGCCCCGGCCATCTCATTTTTCTTGACTTAATCACCCTGACAGTGTTGGGGGAGAAGTGAGATTGTTGGAAACACAACGATATTCAAACCGGGTAGCTCCCGAATAAAAGTTTAGGGCGCAACTACTATAATATAATATGCTTAGAACAGCTGTTGACAAAGTTACAGAAGAAATGTCAAGGAAATTCGGAATTTAAGTAAATATGTTTGTTTAGTTTTTTAACATGTAAACTGCAATGAGTATATTGTAATCGACTAAAATCCAGCAATCACTCGCTAAAGAACTCAGGAATGGGGCATTCAGAAATATGGGTTGGGAGAAACACCTTGCAACCACTGTCATATAATGATAATTATTCGTCAAATCTTCATTGCATAAAACAAGTAACTTCTGAAGATCGTCCTGTATCATACTATCAGCTATAAGCGTCATTTGCACGTAGTGCACACAAAAGTGACTAAAATTGGAGAGTCGTGTCTGTCTGTCTCTCCGCTCTTACGTTTCGTCTATGAATCTTATGAACGGATTTCGACTACATTTAGTATTGGCAGTCTACATTAAAATTTATCGGACAAATTTTGTCTTGGTTCGAACAGACCCAATATAACATCCTCTTAATGCAAAACTCAAATCTGAATTCACTGGATTACAGCCTGTTACGTAACATAAAATACTAGAAAATTACCCGTCAAGATGACAGGAAAATATAAATAGTACTTAAAAGACATTTTTGTTGAGTCTAAAAAGCAGCATGTAAAAATTAAAATCATTAATTAAATAATATAATACGATTTAATGTAGTGCAAATACTGATTTTAAGAAATTATTTCCGAAGATTTAACACATATTTCAGCACATATCGTAGGCTGTACGGTGCATTACTTTATCAGTTTGTAATACAAAGTCAAGGCCCTCGGAATCTATGTTGTTCTGTCAACAGTCAGTTTCTGATAAACATTTGAATCAACATAGAAAAAAGAAAATAATGTATTTCGGCTAAACTTGGGGAAAGTATGTACATTATACTTGTTTTGTTAATAAGAACAGGCAGGTAAGAGTGAATGAATAAATCTTAGGCTGAATAGAATCGCTTGTGTTTTTACACTCCCTACAGTCAAATACCGATTAAAAAATTATCACGATGAAAGCAACCAACACCATCATTATAAAGACACAAGACAGACTTCAATGAAATATATTCATACAATTTTTATCTAAGGCATTTTTCTGTACGGTGAATATTTAACAAAGTGCAAGGCAAAGAATTACTGGCTCTTTACTGTAATATTTGTAACGTGATTTGTTTTGCAACAATAGGTTTATATCTACAATAAATTAATATGAAGGCTAGCAATAAAGTCAGAAGAACGCGTTCAGTATACATATGCCATAAGAGAACGCCTTTCCATTCTTGTTTAAAAGTCGACTTATTTCTGCATCATCCGTCCATCACGTGTCCACGTTTATCAAAAGTGTAGTACTGCGTTGTGAGAAATCTCGTTTCTCTATTCTGGCTTCGCTCGAAGGCAACAGGGAATTTTTTTCATTAACTACGTGCATAAAACTATTTTTTCCGCTTTACATGGTATTGATGCTCATTAAAATTCTGCATCTGTGTTTCTTGTGTCACATAATCACGTGTGCTTCAATTTCCAGAGTCGGTGATTGCACTTACGATATACATGCAGCTGTTTGTTCTTGTATGTGGCAAAGGAGAGACTAGTGCAAGAGTAGCGATGAGGTTTCAGTGTCACTCGACATGTTCGGAGGGTTGACATTCCTTTATCCCAGCAAATGTTAACAAGAGATGGTACGTTTGATAACAATGCCAAATAAACTTCTTAAGAAAATATTCAGATCTGTGGAATGCATATATATTATACTAAATGTACCACAAAATCCAATAATATGAACACTTGTAATGTGAACATATATAAATATGGTTTTCATTAATGAAATTAAATCACAGAAAATGATGTGTAATAAATTGTACATGTAATAGTCTTGTTGATGTTTCATAAAATTGTGGTAATTTATAAATATTAAATAGTCGCTTTATGTTTTTGACATTTGTTTAACGCATAAAATCGCCTCTTTGTTGTATCTGTTTCGTTTCAACATTTCAGCTAGTCTTGGGATTGATATGATAGTTGAAGAAGTCGTGTCGCGAGACGCCATAGTGACTGCGCGAAGATTCCATGTAACAACTGATTGTTGCAGTCTTACCTTGCACCGTAACTGCTGCTGCTGCATTCTGAACGATGACCGATGCTCCCTGCAGTTGCCCAGGAGACACCACTACACTAGACAGCATCACCTGCTCTTGCTCATTCATCAGGTCAAAGGTCACCTGCTAGTTGCCTCTTCCAAACCTTGCCGCCACATGCAGTTCGTCGCTTGCCTCATCCAACCAATTGCTCGGACAAAGAGCAAGAATACTGTCTCGACGGAGGAGACACCTAGCTTATTATCGTATTACTAGCGTCTTATGCGCGCGCACTCTCTTATCAGGAATCACTTAGAATTGAGACGGGTAAGATAACCACAAAACATCTTCTGTTTTGAATGTTATTATTTCGTATTCAGTGTAACAATGTCGATTTTTCTTCGATGGTGCATAGATATGAATGCGAATATGAGAACGCGTCTGATGGAAACAGCCACTTTTGCCTGAGTCCTGATGTGTGGAAGTAAAACCTCTTCGTAAGTTCAAATTTTGCAAGTCACTTGTCAAATAAAAGCAGCGAGAGTGTTTGTTAGCAATCTTTAATGAAAAAAAGGAAGTCCTGGTGCTTCCATTAGTGTGTGCACACGTGGCTCTGATATGCATATCATCCTCTGCGAAATGAGTGTCTGTGTCAGCGTTTCTTATTTTCTGTCTTGATATTACTTTCGGATCTACTATAATCCTCACGACCCCACGTTTTCACATTTTTTAAAAAAATGTTTATTTATTTAAACGAGGTCAGTACTAAATGTTTACATTAAACGCGATTCACTTGAGCTGTACGATAAACAGGAAAAGATACAACATTTTATTCAAATATACAAATACTAATGATTCACAATGTCATTAAATACACTATTACACAAATAGGAAAATGAGAAAATTGACACTCTTGAGGCAATGAGTATTCTTAACATCAATTATTAAGAACTAAAACGTAACAATTTTTAAATTATAATTTTACATTGTTAATATTTATTTGTGGTTTATTTAACGACGCTTTTTCGGTAGCTCAGATTATATAGCGGTGAATGAGGAGGGAAAGGATGTGGAAGGAAGTGGTCCTGTCCTAAATTAAGTCACTATCCCGGAATTTGCGTAGAAGGACTGAGGAAATCCACGAAAAACCCCAGTCAGGATAGCCGGTGCCCGGGCCGAAATTTGAACCCGAGACCTCCCGAATACGAAGTAGGAGTGTTAACCACTGGACCACGACGTTCGGTTTTACATTGTTAATATGATAATTGTCACTGCTTTTTATGCTAACGCTTGGCCACTAGCACTTCCTACCAATTGTGATTAGAATTGTTTCGCGCCCCATAGGTTAAGAATCAGGGGTCCTTTTATACTTCTCAGATTCTTTGAATACCAATAATCACGTCTTAGAATTCATCAGAATTTCAATTCGGACGAATTGTGGTAAAGAAAGTACCACACGAACCTCGATACCATGCGCGGGATCCGAACACGCAATCAAAGGGCTCATTCAACATAAGTGCACAGCTTAAGCCTCGCGGATGCTGGGTTGGGTGTTTTACACTTTTAATTAATTTATTCGTTTTGAAGTTATTTTACGACAGTGTTTCAACAGAATGTCATGTACCCCTAATGAATATGAAGATGGTAATGGATGATGAGTATGAGCCGGGATAGCTCAGTCAGTATAGTGACTAGCTACGGACTGGACGACCGGGGTTCGATCCCCGACGGGGCAGAGGATTTTTCCTCTAGCCTCTGTGTCCAGACCGGCTCTGGGGCCTACCCAGCCTCCTCTACAATGGGTACCGGGGGTAAAGCCGGCCGGGGCGTGATGCTGACCACTCATCCCCATCTAGTACCGAGGTCAAGAAAGAGAGGAGCTATACCTCCTCTCACCCCCAAGCGCCTACATGGCGTATAGTGGGAAAAACTTTACTTTACTTAATGGATGATGAGTAGATAAGGATTTGGAAACAGCTCCTGGTTTCTTTGAAAACAATGCTCAGGAATGTGCTTGAAAAGGCTAAGGAAAACCGCAAATTTCTCAGGTTAGTAGGTAATCGGCCTGGGGCTCGAACAGCTTTTGTCTTCCCAATACAGGTCAAAAACAGAAGTTACTAACCAGTTCCTCCCA